AGTGTCAAATAGACGTGATCATTGACCATCCCACAAAATGTTCGTGATATTAAACTTCATTTAGTTTCGTTGAACTTAAAAACTTTATTACAATTTGATTGCTCGGGCCATTTCCATTAGTTGACTAATGGAAAAGTTGATGTAGCACATTAGTAATTTACCTTTGCTTTTATGTAGTCGAACTAATGGATATGAAGGAATTGACCACATTGTAAGGAACGTCTAAGTTCAATGACCTGCTCGAAATAAAAAGGAAAAAAGTAAAAGTTCAAGCGCCAACATGACAAAAGTCGAGTGAGTGCGAGTGCATATAATACCTTCCAAATATGCAACAGTTGAGAACAAAACCACAATCAGACCATAAAGCTTGTAATCTTAACCTTGAATCTCTTTTCTTGATGAATCATAAGAAAAAAAATGTCTTAAGAAGTATTTTGTGTTTTAATCGTTATGTGCTACAGTTATGTTTTCTCTTATTGTTCAACGTAAATGGATATCTTATCTGTATGATAATTCTCTGCTTCCAGAAATATAATCCATGGTAGTGATGGCCCAGAGACAGCCAAGGATGAAATCAAACTATGGTTTAAACCCGAGGAGTTGGTTAGTTACACGAACACTGCTGAGAAGTGGATCTATGGAGTCAATTGACGACATTTTTTCTCCTTTTTTTTCCCCTCAAAAACTTCTCGTAACAAACATATATCCCACGTAAAGAGTGGGTACTTTCTACTTAGAATCAAAATTATAAGAATAATGTCAGTTTCTTTCGTCGATTAACAACATTATTCCGTGGGCAACCACCTGTTTAATCACTTGAATAATGTACTACACACGTGTCTCTTGATTATGGCATTTTCCCCTTTGTAATAATGTGTTTTAACTCTCTATTTCACAATGCATTTTTAGTGCTCGTCTAGCATGACTTTAGGAAAGTCAAAAGGAGATTTTGAGATTCAAAATCTGCTTCTGAATTCGTTTGGTTAATTTTATAAGAGTCCTTTTATTGTGAGAGTGAAATTTGGGTGAAAAGAAAATGAATTTCAGGGAATTGAATTGCATAGAATTATTTTCATTGGAATTGTCAATTAATCGTGTTTGATTAGTATAATTTTTCACGTGAAAAATATTGAATTTTCGGATTCTTTGGTGTTCGTTTGACTTTGTTTTACATGAAAATTGTCTATTAAAGGGATAAAATTTGTTATAATTGGGGATATAACTTGTTTTCATTGCAAA